TCTCCAATGCTTTGGTTTTATTCTTTACTGTTTAGTTCAATTTTATTATAACTGCCAATTCTTCTTAAAATAGCAAGAGGCAGTATGGTAACCATTGTTGATCACCTTATATTTTGTTTTTACATTATCTATTATGTCCATCCTTTTGATTTGACTGACTCTGTTCTGATATGTCACATTTGGTTTTACTCACTTCAAAAAAAAAAAAAATAATAAGAACTGTGGGAGTAATAAAACCCACAATGTGTAATTGTTATTCTACAAAAAAAGAGAAAGTGCTCTAAAGGTTATAACTGCATATATGTTTAACTGTATAAGATAGATAACCATATTACTGAGTGTTTTTTTGGATCAATGAACAAAACTGTTTGCATTCTCACTGTTTGAAAGTCCACTTTATGTGATTCAATTTTGTAACGTGAACAACTATTTCTAAGATGAGAATATGTAATCTATTAACTAGTGATTTCTTACTGTTTATTTTTTAAATTTTATATTATGTGTACCCTTTTTCTGTTTTTTTTTTTCCCTTTTTCTCCTTAAATAAAAAAAAAAATCTAAGTCTGAGAACCTACCAGTATCTCCTGAGGTTGGGAGCGAATGTACGTGGATTTGCCACTGGAGGATGACAGGAATGACAGCCTCCTTAACGAGGTGGAGGTCTTGTGCCATCTGAGACTCTCCCGAGGGCTTCAGTACAGGAGAGTAGGAGTGTTCAAAGGGAGCTGATAAGATTCAAAGGCCATACTGAGAAATCTGTGTACGAGAGGCTGGAGGTGCTCACGTGACTCTCCCTTGATTAGATACTGTTTTCAGTTAGGAAATTGGCTGAGGTCTTTTAGTCTTATAATCACTAGCAGTGCTGAATTTGCCCAACCAGGTGTTTCTTTATAGCACGCAGCAGGACCCACCTGTTGGCTAATTTGGTCAGGAAGACCTGGGGTATTTCCTGCAAGTAAAATCCATTTGGGACTAAGCTGGAATTTGAGAATTGCTCCCAATTGTGTGACTAGATCTCTTTCTAGCAGGGGAGTAGGACACTTAGAAACTCATGGCTAGACATTCGATCTTGAAAGTGACATGTCAGTGGGGAAGTATAGAATCTCCACAAGGAGTCCCTTTGATCCCAACTATGACTGAGACTTCAAGGAGAGTTTCCAGAGGAAGAAATCAAAGCAGAATGAGCCCCCTGACCCTTGTGTCTAAAAGGAGTTGAATCAGCTCACCCATGATGCCTGAGTTTACCCAGGTCCTTCAGAAGAGACAGCGATGTCCATTGACAGGGCAGGTTCCCCTGGCCTCTTCATCATCAGAGCAGGCGGTGGGGGTTTGGCTGGCCTGGCTCCTGTCTGGGAGTGAGGATGGTCAGATCTCCAGTGCATGATAGGCGCATCAGCTGCCTCCCATGCAGGGCAGGGCCCAGGGTCCAGTGCTTTTCCCCAGACACAGGAACTCTTTCCTCAGCTGCTCAGGTGTCCCTAGATTTTCTCTGAGATCACCTGAGTGGGTTTAAAGCTTGACCAACTACAGCAGCCATAACCCTAGCCTTTCTCTTTAGTCTCTCTGGGTCCTGATTGTTGCATACAGAAAAGGCCATGACCAGCAATTGGGCCATAGATGTCCACGGGCCCGTATGAAGCTTTTGCAGCTTATGCCATATACCTGGGGCTGACCAAGGGTGAGATGCTGTGTCATCAGTGCCGCTTCCTCCCCAGAAGATGGGTCTATGTCAGTACATTTGAAGAAAGCCTCTGCTAATTAGTTATGAAACAAAGCTGGATTGTTCTCTGTGCCCTGTAAGACTCCTCACTTTATTATAGCTTTTAATGCACCTTTTCTTTTCTTTGTTTTTGTACTGGGAATCAAACTCATGACTTCACGCTTGCCAGTTGGGTGCTTATACTGCTGAGCTAAATCCCTGGCTAATGAACCTTTGCATCCGCATGGTGAGAGCAGCTAGTGTTCTAGGCACCATTTCCAGACACTCCTGAGTGTTAGAGTTCCAGTGGTTTTGCTGAAGGGAGAATAGCTGTTCCATGGTGCTTTCCTTCCCTTTTCAAAGCTTAGGATCCATCCACACAGGTCCTAACCTCTTGTAGGATTCTGTCTTTCATCAGAGCTATAGCAAGTGACCAAGATGAATTAGACATCCTGCAATGGTAAGCCAAAAGCAAGGTCACAGTTTGGAACCCATCTGCAAACTTCCTAGGGTCTCCTGGCAGTTGGCCTAGTCATTCCTTACACAGCTGGACATCTGCAAAGGACAAAGTAACTGTACTGGAGTAGTTCCTCCTGCCCCTGGGCCTTCTCCTAGGGAGGATAAGTGGAGAACCAGTGAAGTAGGAATCACTTTGGGAGTGCCCCATGGAGCCATCCATGTGTGTCTGGGGGCCTGAGGCCCACTGAGAGGCACAGAGGAGGCTGAGACATGCTGGGTCCTCCGGGCTCTAAAGGAATGCCCCAGTCACTCAGAGGGGAAGGACCTGATTTATCAGCCTGAGAATGGGAAGAGACAGGTTGAGTGACTTCCTAGTGTGCTTATCCTCCCTAACCAGACCAGCACGACTGAGATCTCCTTGAGAGACAAGTAGGGGGCCTCAGATCAGGGCCCCCCAGGATATCCTTTACTCCCTAGGGCCCATACCAAGTATCACAGCTGTTGAGGATTCCCTTTGATAGAGAATCACCAAAGGGTGATCTCAAAGCATCTCACTCCATCTTTCATGTTCCAAGAAGAAATGCTGTACCTGGAGAATGATCTCACAGTTTTAAGAACCATCTTGATCCCATCTTTGGCGACCTCCCAATTTGCACTGTAAAAGTAGATCAGCTGTTCTTGTTCTAAATTGTCAAGATAAAACCTGTCCATTCATCAAGGATATAGCCTAGTGGCAAAGTCAGAGGGATCTGAGTAACAAGAACTTACCAACTGGATGAGCTTGAGGCCTGTGAAGAGAAGGAGGCATCCGGATGCAAACTCTTCCAGCAGATCTCACACAGAAGGCAAGGAAGCCTGGAGTCACGGGTGCCCTGCTGGGGCTTCATGGAGCCTGGACGGACATCTCTGTCTGAACCTCAAAGTGATGCTTGGCTTTTGTCTCCATATTGAGGACCCTTTAACTCCTCAAGGACAAAGGGCTGGGCCATCTATGGGCCTTGCCTGGTCCAAACTCCCAATTTTTCTAAGCAAAGTCCTTTGATGCCTCATTGGAGCCCTGGATGATCCGTGTGTTTGCTGTAAGCTGTTTGATGGCCTAGCTGGTATCTCAGTCCCTGGATGACTGACTTAACCAGAGTGAAACTGGGGGTGTGGGGAGAGGCATCTCTTGTATTTCTTTGCTGGAAAAAAGAACTAAGGATGGGATGGCTCTGTGTTTACCCACTCATCACCTTAATTCACTGTGAATGTCCTTAAGCTTTGCCTCCTTGGGCATCAGACACAAGTCTTTAGTTTCAGTACATTTAAGCAGAGAAGCAGGACGTTAGGCAGTGCCCCTCGGGCAGGCTCTGGGGGTGGCTGGGGTGCACTGCGGGCAGCAGTGGTGGCACAGTGGCCGTCATGGAGGGATGTCGGGGGCACACCCACACCCCAGCACTGTGCACCTGTGCCCACTGTGAGGCTCGCCTGCTCAGGGTGGCACTGCAATGCCAGCATGCTCAGTGCCACCCAAGCACTGCTCCACCAGCCTGGCGCTCAGCTTTGGCCAAAAGTCTTGGGCATTTATTAAAACAGACAAGTTTGGTTTTCTTCTTGTGTGAGGTGCCCATGCCACCCAGCAGGCTGCTGGTGCTGCCTGTCTCTGTCCCGCGTTCAGCCCAGTGACCAGGCTGCCGTGTAACCCCAAATGCATCCTGAGTTTTTAAAGGGTTACTACAGTGTTTCTTACATGTGAGAAGGAAAAAAAAAAGCCTCCTTCTTCTTGTTCACAAGCCCATATGTTTGTTAAAATCTGAAGCTTGGCTCCTAGTTATTTAAAAAGGGGGAAAAAAAGATAGGGAAAAAATGCTGATGGCAGTGACACCCACCCATGTCCAAGTCATGCCACAGGACCAGACTACCAGCTGGCTTGCAGGTAGTATTCTTGTGGACGGTGACGTTAGTTACAGATACCTCGGGCAGTCAGAAGGGGCGGGGCCCTGGGCGCAGAACAGCTGTGACGGAGGTGCCTTCACCGAGGGCCAGGCTCCAGGAAAAAGAGGAAGGACTGCGCTCACATCCTTCCCTGAGGAACAAGCAGCCGTGGCTGTACTCTAAATCAACAGCAGTCACCCTGGTGGAGGACCCTAGTGCCTGCCTTCCCAGAGTCCCTACTAAATCATTATTACCCTAGCCACTATGCTTGTTGTATATTTATTGATTGACTACAGTTTTATCCTACCTCACACCCATCTTATGATTTGCCATTGGATCGTTACCTAGGCAACTATACCTGTCATCTTATTGATCAACTATCGTCCTGTCCCATCTTGAGCCTGCCTCACTGCATGGTGTTCGGAAGCAGGGTCCATTGGCCTCCTACTTTCTTGGCCCCCTTGTCCTTGTCTCAGACAGAAGGCTCTCTCTCTGGATAAATACTCTTGACTCCAAATCACCATTGTTCTGAGTTCATTATTCCAAGTTACAGAACAGGGGCTTGGCGTTCCAGAAACTAGCAAGCCTGAGCATGAATTATGATACTGCCCTTTCTGCACGTGGAGGTCCAGCATTGTCCCTGCATCGGTGTGGCTGCTGGGCGTGGGATGGGGCACTGTGGTGGCATCTCAACTGATACACACCTTGAGCAGGAGGAGGCCAGGCTGATTTCCAGAAGGGCAGCAAAGCACACAACAAAGAAACACGAGGACAACAAGGTGAACTATGGCGTGTCTCTGAACAGCTAGGAAAAAAGCCAAAAACCACCCCTCTCCCCGTGTCCCTTTCTGGTGTCAGGTGAGGTGGTGACCCCGATTCCTAGGTCGGGGGACAGAGTGAGGGAAAGAAGGAAAGACGCCTCCAAGCATTTTACTTTTTAAATTTTTTTTACTTTTTGGTACCAAGGATTAAACTCAATGACCACACGCTTGCAAGGCAGGCGCTTAAGCTGCTGAGCAAAATCTCCAGCCCCCTCTAAGCATTTTAGAGAGAAGCAAAAGCCATGCCCATGCAGGCTGCACCTCCTTGGCACCTGAGCTTTGCTCTCCTGCTGGTTATGCTAAAAGTGTTCCTGGATTGTTCCTTTACAAATGGCCTGTTAACCAGATCCCAGGAGCTTCTTGCCTGGAACAAAGAATTGGACAAGTCAAGCCAAAGATGGTGTCAGAAGTTTGAGAAATTCAGGGTGACAGGGAAAGGGGAAAACTGGCTCTGCCGAGGGAACTTGGGCCAAATAGGAGAGACCAGGATAAAAAGCCAAAGTCAGCATTCACACTGTGTGTAGCACGGCTGGGCTGCTGTGAGGAGTCCAGGAGCGCTGCCCAGGGCACCTCATCTTCTCTGTACTGTCCATGTCTCAGTGAGCCTGAGAAGTTCCCCTCACTCCTGAGGAAGATTTGGCACCGTCCTGGGGTCTTGAAACCCACAGGTCCTGCTCCTGTCCTGGGCCAGATTTGCCACGCCCTACCTTCTGTATCAGCGCCATTCTTGGCTTCTATGTTTCTGTAGATTTCCCTTTTCTGACCAGTTTATACACAGCGCCACATAACGTGTGGCTGTTAAGTCTGGCTTCCTTCTCTCAGTGAGCTATTTTCAAACATTCATCCATGTTTCAGCCTGTGTCCAATTCTCCACTCTGTTTAGGGCTGAACACTGTGGATGGACCACAGCGATTTATCCATGCAGTAGCTGCTGGCCAATTTCTACTTTTGGGCTGGTATCAGTAATTTTTCTGTATACATCAGGATTCAAGTTTTTGTAGATATAAGCTTTGAATTCTCTCTGTCTCTGTCTCTCTGTGAGACAAGGCGTTATTATGTAGTCCAGGCTGGCCTTGACTCACTACATTATGCAGCCCAGGCTTCCCTGGAGATCCTCCTGCCTCATCCTCCTGAGTGCTGATTATAGATGCACCAGGATGCCAGCTTGTTTCCAGTTCTTTCATGCAGATCCCCAGGAGCAGGGGGCTGTAGCACTGTGTCCATCTTTTGAGGATTCCCATGTAGGGCAGCACTGGGAGAAGAGCCTTCCTAACCAGAGCCTCCACTGGGCCCACCAAGACCACACAGCCGCTGCCCAAGCACCTTCTGGTCCCCATTTCCCTGCTCCTAGCACCTGTCCAGCCCACTCTGCCCTGCCCTCCATGGTCTCCTCTTGAGCCACTGCAGCTGGGTCTGATCCATGCTGCGTTACCCTTCCAGGCACTCAAGTCTCTATGGAAAGCAGAGCCCTAGGCCAGCTCTGCCTTCCCATCTGAAGCACCCCGGGAGCCTGAGCAGGAGAACCCCAAGGTCCAGATAAGCATGGGAGACAGTAACCTAGAGAGAGCCTGCCTCTACTGTAAATCAGGCCTGGGGACATAGCTCAGTGTGTTCTCTCCCCACTTCTGAAAAGCAGGAATTCAGATAGAAAGAGAGAAATAAAAGAGCCATTGTCACCAACCACTCTTTCTCTTTCGCCTGACTACATTTTATTCAGCGTACTACACTGTTTACTTGGTGATTTTTCACTACTAGATCTACATCCCGGAACCAGCACACGGTAGGGGTTCCCTAATAATGAATGAATACATTAATAAACACCGATGGTACTTAGCATTCTAATTATCTACTGTTTCATGACAAGCTATCCTATTGTAATGCCAATACTCAGGAGGCTGAGGCAGAGGATTGCTGTGAGTTTGAGGACAGCCTCGGTTACACAGTGCGTTCAAGGCCAGCCTGACATACACATACATAGCAAGACTCTCTCAAAAAAACAAAACAAAACAAAATGATCACAGCTTGGCATGGTGGCATATATCATCCAAGCCTTTGGGAGGCTGAGGCAGGAGGGTCCTGAATCCCAGGCCAGCATAGCCACACGGTGAGACCCTTTCTTGAAACAGCAAATGCAAACAATTGCAACCCATGGGCCTGGGCCCAGCACAGTGTCACCTGTCTGAGTTTTGGGTTAATGTGGGGCTTGGGGCAGCCCAGACCTTGGGACAAAGCAGGTGAAGCCAGGGGACAGAACATGGTGACCTAGTGGGATGAGAGCCCACGGAGGCTCAGCACCCTCTCTGTGCAGCTCTGTGCCCTCTGCATTCAGACTGCAAACCACAGCCTCTCTGCTGTGAGCGGTGCAAACTTGAGCAGGAGGTGGCTAGGACGCTCCGGAGCTTGGCTTCTATGTTTCTGTAGATTTCCCTTTTCTGACCAGTTTATACACAGCGCCACATAACATGTGGCTGTTAAGTCTGGCTTCCTTTTCTCAGTGAGCTATTTTCAAACATTCATCCATGTTTCAACCTGTGTCCAATTCTCCACTCTGTTTAGGGCCGTACACTGTGGATGGACCACAGCGATTTATCGCTGGGATGCATCTCCAGGCACAGCAGCACTGCCCTTTCAGATGCCTGCTAAAACGACGCATGCCCTGACCGGCTGGGACATCTGACCCAAGAACAGTGGCAGCCATGCTCTCCCCTGGGCATGAGGGACAGTGCCTAGGGCCAACACGTGAAGACCAGGCGTTTGCTTGGCCTCCCCTCCCTCTCTCCTTTCCTTTACTGGTGGTCGAGCCCAGGGCCTTCACTCTGAGCTATATCCCTGCCCTTTAAACTTTTTTATTTTGAGACAAGAGTCTTGCATAGCCCTTAGTTGTCCAACTTCCCATCCTCCTGCCTCAGCCTCCCAGAGTGCTGGGATTACAGGTGCGCACCCCCACACCAGCTCCAACAGGTGTCTTCACCTCCTGGAGCTCTGTCCCCTTGCCTATAAATGAGGCAGATGAGGATGGCACCTAACAGGTCACTGAGAGTGGAGTTAGTAATTGTCTAAACTCCCACCTAGTGTGCTGGTCACCAGTTTTGGGTGAACACGTGTAGTGTTAAATCCTAGGGTACAGTGACTGTGTTGTCAGAACATAGACCTCTCCCTGCAAGCTGTCTACAAGGCCACCTAGCTGCACCTGGGACTATGAGACATCATCAAACCCGCCCCCGCTGGGCTCCTCCCAGTGATTAACCAGGAGAGCACAGGAGTAGCCAGGCCAGCAAGCAGTTGGCCTTGGGAAAGCTGTTTCAGCAGTGATCAGTCAGATTTCCCTCAGACTCTGACCTCCCTGCACTTTTGCCTTCTCATAACTCTTCCGAAGAGTCCTTTAGAAAGGGCAGGGTGAGGTGATACTACCCCAGGGCTGTGTCACAACCCCAGGAGGCATGTGAGATCAGGGCTGCAGAGACTACCGCCCTCCTGCCATGTCCCAGGGTCTTCCATGACCTCGGATCTTTTTCCAGCTTCTTATTTTGAGTGAACTTCTCCCTAAGTTGCTAAATTGCCCAGGCTGTGCTGACTTTGTGATCCTCCTGTCTCATCCTCCCTGAACGCTGAGATTCTAGATGTGCAGTGGCACATAGGGCCCACCTGGGACTCTCACCTGCAGCTTGTTTATCACAGGTTCCTGCAGGCCGCCAAACCTGTCCAACCACAAACACCGAGCTCAGAGGCAGGCAGGGGCACGGCATCCACCCTGCTTTGGGATGCATCTCCAGGCACAGCAGCACTGCCCTTTCAGATGCCTGGGCAGGTGACTTCACAGTGAAAAAGGTGAAAACATTACCGACATCTGTGCATCACAGTGGCCTCCAAGCACGTCCTGCCATCTCGGCATCACACTCTTGGGAACAAAGCAAGCCCAGGAGGTGGCAATGGAAGAGCAGCCATAGAGGACAGTGTCTGTGTGTCCTCAGCTGGACGTCTGTCCAAATTCTTTCGCTGTAGGGAGAAGCAGCTTCCCTCTGCCCCGTGCAGTCTTCACTCACATCCTGGCCTCAGGCCAGCACTGGATTAAACTCCATCCCCTTGTTTCTGCTTTCCTTTTCTGAGACACAGGGCAGCGAGTCGCCTCTTTCTCTGGATGTGAGCCCAATTGCCAGGGGCATGGCCCTGTGCTCTGTCCCAGCTGGTCCTGGCCTGAGACCCAGCTCAGACCTCTTTGTTCTTCAGATGGCTCTCAGTGAGCGGCCCCAGGTGGGCTTGCATTTTCCTTTTAAACAACATTTACCAAGTGAGGCTTGGTGGTAGAAGCTTATAACCCTCTCACTCTGTGAGCCTGAGGCAGGAGCATACTCCTGAAATTGGGCTATTTTGGTCCACATAGGAAGACCCTGTTTCAAACAAACAAAACAATTCATGTCAGTGCCACGGTGCCTGAGGCACCATCCTTAAGGAGCCTGTTGTTACCTACCTGCTGCCCCAAGGGCAGCCACCATCCCAAGCACAGCACGAAGGCCAAGCCCAAGGCAGGTAAGCAGGCTGAGGGGCTGCGGAGAAGACAGTGAGCCAGATGCGTCAACTATTGTGACACCAGGCCCGTGGAGGACAGCGTCTGTGCGCTCAGCCCTGACTGCTGCAAACAGCCAGGCTAACAAACATCCCCTTTCCTATCCTCTTCCCCACACAGCTGTGGGCACAGAAAATGTCAGACCTAACTATGAGATTCCTCCCTACTTAATACTTGATTTTCATCTCCTTTGCTTTGCTTTTGAGACATCATGGTCCCACTATGTAGGCCAGGCTGAATCAGATTACAGGCTTCTGCTACCAAGTCAAACCTAATTGTAACATATCTGAAATGCAGGCAAAAAGAGGTTACCTTTTCCAAAATCTTTGCAAAAGTGCTCCTAATGGGACCAGTGGGTTTAAGGTACAAACCCAGGAAGAGTCTACTCTCTGAACTCTGGGTTTCCTCATCCGATGGGGTGGGGGTGGAGTTAGGGGGCCGGGGGACTGGGGGATGGGGTGGGGACAGCAGCAGCACCCAGCCTTTTGCGGGGACTGCGGCCTGGCATCCTCTGCCTAGGCAGCCGCCGCAGACTCCGCGGGTTTCCCCTGCCCGTCTTGGCCTCCTTCCTTCCTCTCCGACTTGCAGGCGATCCAGTTTTAGCAGACACACGCTTGGCGTGCATTGGCTGCGTGTGAGCACACGGAGCTCCCCGAATGCTCGCCGGCTCTGCTCTCTTCGGGCCCGGTCCGATTCTGGTCCTGGAAGCCGCACCGCCAGCAGGGGGCTGCGCGGAGGGTCGTCCCTGCGGCACGGAGCCAGCCCCACGGGCAGTTCACTCGCGACAGACTCGCGTCCCCGCACGGCCGCAGGTGCGTGGCTGAGGCCGCCGCTGCCTCGGTTTACGACCAAGCGGGGCGACGTTCTCACTGCCACGAAACCGGCGGCGGTCGGTTCCGGAGTCCCCGGCGTGTGAGCTGCGGCCCGCGCGTCCGGCTGGCTGGCCGGCGCTCTCCCTTCCTCGCCTTCCGCGTGGGGGTCGCCTGGGCCGGGCTGAAACTGACGACTAGCCTGCCTCGGCCTCCAGAGTGCCGGGCCTCCGGGCCTCCGGGCCTCGACACGCCGGCTCAGCCGGGAGAAGCTGGCTCCGGGAAGCAACGAGGCGCCGCCGAAGGAAAGCGGCCTCCGGTGGGCGCCTCCCGAGAGCCGGGAGCCGGGACCGGCGCCGTGGCGCGGGGCTGGGTCTGGTACTTGGCTTAAACAGTAACCTACGAGAATACGCGGGCCTCTGGGCTGGCGTCCACCGCGCCCACCGCGCCCACCGCGCCCAGGCCCGGACCTGCACGGTCCGGCCGAGCCCACTGCCCCCGGGGTTGGGACGGCGCGCCCCCTGCCGGCCACCTCCAGCACTGCGCGCCCCGCGACTCCGGTCTCAGTCATCGCGATCTCGCTTAGGAGCTCCACCTGGCGGGGGACCGTGGAATCGGCCCCTTAAAGCACTGCACTTCTGGTCGGGCCCACGCTGTTAGCCCAGCAGTCTGGGAGGCTGCCGCAGGAGGACCACAAATTACAGCCCAGCAACTTTGCAACTTATAGAGACCTAGCCTGAAAACAACAAAAAAGTTAAAAAAAATTTTAAAGACCTAATTAAAAAAAAAGTTTGCAATTTCCAAAGCCTAATCACAAAAGTCACCCAAAAATTCTTTGTGTGTGTGTGTGTGGGGGGGGGAGCACCAGGGGTTGAACCTAGGGTCTTCGCATTGTGCAACACTTCCAGCCTTTATAAATACTTTTATTTCCAGACTGGATCTCACTAAGTCACTGAATGGTCCAAGCTGGTCCTGCTATCCTCCTGCCTCAGCCTCCCAGAATGCTGGAAATAGAGATAGGCATATGCTACCATGCCTGCTTTTAAAGTTACTTCAGAAAACAGAAAACTTGCACAGTTCAACAAAGTGAGAAGGATTTGTTTTTGTTTTGTTTTTTAAGGCAGGGTCTTGCTGTGTAGTTTATGCTGGCCTTGAACTCACTTTGTAGCTCAGGCTGGCCTCGAACCCACAGATCTTCCTGCCTTAGTCTCCCTTGTGCTGGAATTTTCTTTAAAAAAAAAAAAACAGGCTCTCCCTATATAGTTCAGGCTGGCCTTGAAGTCACAGCAAGCCTTCTATCTCAGCCTCCTGAGTGGTGAGATTACAGGTATGTGCTAATGGGTTTTTAGCCACATAAATCTGCCTAGTCATCATGGTGGAAACCCAACATGGCCAAGAGACTATAAAAAGACACTGTAGCAGTGTTCTTCCTCTAGTGCTCCAGACCCAAAATAGACTTCCTGCCTTTCTTCCCGTTTGCACCTAGGGCACTCCAATCCCTAGTTAAAACGTCACTTCTGCTCCACCATCACCAGCCGGTCTAGCACCACCCCAGTGAGAGTTGATATAAGCAGCTCCCCGCCCTGTGTCTGCATTTCTCCCCTCTCCCGCACCCCCTCATTAGCCTCTTCATACTTTGTCTCCTTCTTACCTCTCCTGGGGCTTCAGATTGAGTGCCACAAAATAATCATGTGCCACCACCAGGGGTGAGTATTGTTAGCATATAATGTGGTACTTTCTTTTTCCTTCTCTCTTTCTCTTTTCCCCATGTTGATTCCGGAGATTGATTTTGAACGTTGTACTACTGAACCACATCCCCAGCCTTCCTGCTTCAGCCTCCTCAGTGTGCACTGCCAGCCACACTAAGGTCATTGCAACGCTGGGGATCAAACCCAGGGCCTTGAACAGCCTTGGCAAGTGCTCAACCTCTAAGCCCGAGTCACATTCCCAGCCCAAGGTGACATTGGTTGCCAGTCCTGTAGTCTCCATTCCTGTCCCTCCCTTCCTTTGTCTTTTTCCTCCTTCATGTTTTTGAGACGAGGTCTTGCTACATAGTCCAGTCTGGCCTTGAACTCCAGATGTTTCTGTCTCAGCCACCCTAGTGCTGAGATTTCAAATGTGAGCACCACACCTGTCTGCCTCATGCAGCACTTTTAAAATTACACAAAAACTCATCGATGAACCAATTTTCATGGTCAAAAACACCTAGGCAAAGTTCTTCCGTCCCTGATGGATGGGCTATGACAAGAGTGTTCTTTGAGGCTAAGGAGCACTCCAGGAAATCCTACATAGATTAAAACGCTTACATTGGTTAAAATGTTTTGGATAGAGTTTGATCCCCAGTAATGACCAAAAAAAAATTCTAAAAAAAAAATGTTTCGGGCAATGTCTCAAGAAAATGACAGTTTTATTTGGTTTCTCCCTCTTAGTAGCAACTTTATAGAATCCAAGGATGTAAAGTTGAAATGGAAAGATAAAATTGACACTTGCTGAAAGATGTTTGGCTAGAAAACTTACAGAGTCCATTCCATGTATTCAGCAAAACATTTCTTTTTCAATACAGAGCAAATCTCCCAGTGTTCCCTGGCACCCAAATCCTCTCATCAACTGTGTGGAAGGGGAGGTGCAAGATGGCTGCTGAGAGATGGGGTGGAGGTGCCAAGGCGGTGGACACATAGTGTGGAGGTGGAAGGGAGGAGCCAAGATGGCGGACACATGGAGTGGAGGAGGGCTAGAGCCCAGGTATGCTGCTGGAGAAGAGCTGCTCTGGGGAACCCTCTGGCTGGAACCATTGCTATGGATGAAAAATGAGCCTTTATAATAGTGCTCATGGCTGACTTGTTATTGGGGCATGGTTGGTGCCTTCTGACACCATGCTTTGGGCTTCATTACTCTTCCCTGGAGTGGCAGGTCATGGCAAGCTGGGGAAAGTCACTGTGGATGACGGACTGAAAGGTGTTCCAAAGTGCTGGCTCTCCACTTATCCTCCCCTATGAGAGAGGCCCAGGGGCAGGAGGGACTACTCCAGTACAGCTGCTTTGTCAGTCACAGGTGTCCAGCTGTGCGAGGAAAGACTAGGCCAACTGCCAGGAGACCTAGGAAGTTTGCAGATGGGTTCCAAACTGTGGCCTTGCTTTTGACTTATTGTGGTGAGATGTCTAACTCATCTTGGCCACTTGCTGTACCTCTGATGAAAGACAAAATCCTACAAGAGGTTAGGACCTGTGCGGATGGATCCCAGGCTTTGGAAAGGGAAGGAAAGCACCCTGGAACAGCTATTCTCCCTTCAGCAGAGCCACTGGAACTCTAACACTCAGGAGTGTCTGGAAATGGAGCCTACAACAGTAGCTGCTCTCACCATGGGGATGCAAAGGTGCATTAAAGTCTGTTAACTATGATAAAGTGAGAGGCACAGAGAACTGCTGTGACCTCTGCAGCTCTAAATGTTCCCAGGAAGAAGCACGATGAGAGGATGAGCAAACAGAGATGAAGGTCAGGGGGAGCCCTCTCACCTGATGGGAGGGAAGGAACTGCTCAACCTCTGTAGCAGGTTTATTTATATATTCAGAAGGATGATGTCAATTTCAGCCTCACTGCCTAGCACCTTCTTTGGCTGTCCTGGACCACTTTCTTTCTTAGAGCTAAAACAGATTCTTTATATGGCTTGTTTTGGGCTCTGTGTTTTCTGGACTAGCCTTGCGTTAGCCCCCTACATGTGATCAATCTCCAGCTTCAACAGCTCCCTACGGAGAACAATCCAGCTTTGTCTGTAAATGATTATCGGAGGCCTTCTAGTCACTAACACAGACCCATCTTCCCCGAAGGGAGCGGCACTGATGCAACGACATCTCACCCTCAGTCAGCCCCAGGAATCCGGCCTGAGCTGCAAAAGCTTCAGATACCTATGGCCGAATTGCTTTTATTTTATTTTTTAATGTATTTATTTTTATTTTAAAGGGAATAAAACAACAATAAAATGAAACAAAACAGTGGTAAGACAGTAGGAAACCTATAATAGTTACTATATTGCATACTGTTGTCCTCTAAATAGCTGCACAGACTTCTGGCTTTAGGCTGGCGCACAGGTGGGAGCTTAGCTGCTTTCCTGGTTCTTCCTGGTCTGTGCTTGGGTGGCTCTTAGGTGGGGGTCTCAGCTTCCTTCCCGGTTCCCCCCTTTCCGTGCTCCTGGACTTTGTTGTGTGCAACGATCAGGACCCAGAGAGACAAGAGAAAGGCTAGGGTTATGACTGTTGTAGTTGGTCAAGCTTTAAACCCACTCAGGTGGTCTCAGGGAAAACCCAGGGATAGCTGAGCAGCTGAGAAAAGGGTTCCCGTGTCTGGGGAAAAGCACTGGACCCTGGGCAGAGGTTGCCCCGAGCCTCCGACTGGGCCCTGCCCTGAATGGGAGGCAGCTGATGCACCTGCCTCGTGCACTGGAGGTCTGACTAGCCCCCCTTCCAGAGGGGGCCAGGCCAACCAAACCCCCACCACCTGCTCTGATGACTGAAGAGGCCAGGGAACCTGCAATGGCCCTGTCCATGGACATCGTGATCTCCTCTGAAGGACCTAGGTAAACTCAGGCATCATGGGCGGGCCAGTTCAACTGCTTATTAGACAGGCAGCTCGAGCACTATTGCAATCTGTTCCAATTTCTTTCTCTAGAAAACTGTCTTCTAGTTCTGTAGCTATAGTTTGGGGTCAAGGGACCTCTACTCAGATTCTTTACTGCTCCTATGTTTAACCATAATTTACTTACTTTTTCTTTCTTTCTTTCTTCTTCTTATTTTTTCTTTCCTTTCTTTCTTTTTTTTTCATCTTTTTGAGACAGGGTTTTGCTGTTTGTTCAAGCTGGCCTTGAGCTCACTTTGTAACCCAGCCTGGTCTTGGATGCAAAATGTTCCTTCTACCTCAGCCTCCCAACTGCTGGAATTACAGGAATGTGCCACCATCTCTGGCTCTAACCATGTGTTTCAAATTGCTGAGGGTCCTACTCCTTTGCGAGGAGGAGATTTCCTAACAAATTTGAGGGTGACTTTTAAATTTCAGCTAAGACTAAAATGGATTTTACTTGTTGGAACTACACAAGGTCTCCCTGACCAAATAGCCTACTTGTAGTAGGTTCTATTGCATAGTTTAATGGCAAATTCTGCTCTGCCAGTAGTCATAAGGCTAAAAGCCTGCAGTTGATTTCTTGACTGAAAGCAATATCCAATCAAGGAAGGGCATGTACTGGCCTCCGGCTTCTCATAGACAAATTTCCCAAATGTAGCCTTCTAAAGCCTGATCAGACCCCTTACAATATTCCACTGTCCCTGCAGTAAATCTTGGAGGACATCAGATGCTATGAGACCTCTGCCTCAATAACGAGGCTGTCATTCCAATCCATCCCCTGGTGGCAGATACATATAAAATTGTCTCCCCAATTTCAGGGGACACTAATTAGTTCTCAGCCTTATATTCAAAAGGATATAAAAATACTTCATGATTCCTTCCTTATGGGAAGAGAATCTACACTAGAGATGGCCACTTGAGTTTTCAGAGGCCTGGCAATAGTGACAACTCCCTGGCAGGTCTGCAGAGCTTGCTTCTGAGCACCCTGGGCAAGCCCAGACCCGGTCGCCTCCTTTGCT